AAAAAAAAAAAAAAAAAAAAAAAAAAAAAAAAAATTATTCTCCCAGATCATCAATCATGAATTTTTGACCCCGCCCCCCCCCTCTCTCCCTCCCGTGGGGGGGGGGGGGGTAATGATTAAAAGTATACACCCCTGAACTGAATGAATAACATGCTGATTCTACCTGAAAAATGAAAGTGATAGTTTTGAAGTGGAAGAGCATAATTCCTTTAAGAGCTGGAGAATCAAAGTTTTTTTCCATTAGAACCGTTTCTACGTACTCCCTGAACAAGATTAGTTACATAAAAACGCCTCTCTTCCTGGAAAACTAAGGGAGGTACACCCCTTTGAAAATGTTGGGTGCGTAACTTGAAAGAGGGGTTGCCCTCTGTCTTCTGTCATTCAATTTCAAAATTTTATTGAAGAAAAATACAATTTTATACAGGGTGTCCCACGTAACATTACAGTTGTTGAAGAGATTAAAATGTCTTCTTCCATAATTTGTTACGTTGTTTGTTAACAAAGAGAATAATTAAAAATATTGTATGGGAGTCATCTTGTAGTCAAATTGATTTTAAAGTCAAATAAACTTGAGTAAAAGATTTTTTAACGAAATAAATTGCAAGAAGTCTTGAATATTTAATACAGTATATGGAAAAAGACATTCAAAAATATTCATCAACTGTCATGTTTCGTGGGACACCCTGTATGTTGTTTTGACCCACCTAATCAGAGTTGGTTTTGAATATTGAGATGAAAAAAACACACTAATTTTCATTTGTATCACACAAAATTAATTTCCCAATTTACATATTTGCAATAGTGGGAAATTATGTGGGCGTTTTTTTAAAGAAAATAATGAAAGTATCAATAATAATTATAGAAGATCTGAATTCTGAATGATACAGAGTGACGCTTATTACCGATATTTAATGTTGGCAATTTTAAATTTGATAATCAATTCTTGCTCCCTCAATAAAAGTTATCCCTGCAGGGTATGACCAGTACGGGATATCTGAGAGGAATTAAATTCATCCGTAGATTTGGTTAGGATGCAGATTAACGCTTAATACCGAGGTTTACACCACTACAGTTCTAAATTCTGAACATATATACCCCTGAGGTTACCTGCATTCTGTACATATATACCCTTGAAGTTACCTGAATTCTGTACATATATACCCCTGAAGTTACCTAAATTCTGTACATATATACCCCTGAAGTTACCTAAATTCTGTACATATATACCCCTGAAGTTATCTGAATTCTGTACATATATACCCCTGAAGTTACCTGAATTCTGTACATATATACCCCTGAAGTTACCTAAATTCTGTACATATATACCACTGAAGTTACCTGAATTCTGTAAATATATACCCCTGAAGTTACCTGAATTCTGTTCATATATATACCCCTGATGTTGCCTAAATTCTGTACATATATACCCCTGAAGTTATCTGAATTCTGTACATATATACCCCTAAAGTAACCTAAAATTCTGTACATATATACCTCTGAAGTTACCTAAATTTATGTACATCTATACCCCTGAAGTTACCTAAATTCTTTACATATATACCCCTGAAGTTACCTAAATTCTGTACATATATACCCCTGAAGTTACCTAAATTTTGTACATATATACCCCTGAAGTTACCTGAATGAATCCTGAAAGATGAACGGATTAATGACATTGACTCCGTTAAGAAGATGATCAGCCATGAACCGTGAAATTCTTCCTTCATTTAATAATCCAGGCTGTATCACCTGGAACGGGATTTGATAAATTAAAGAAAGAGATCGCTAAACTACCTACTGCTGGTTCAAATCCTGAATTACCGATTAAAAATAAGAAATTCATCATGATATGAATCGGTGATTCAAGATTGCAACCTCTTCAATATGGAGAAAACTCTCCTTTTAAAGGTGTACGTACCCCCCCCCCCTGGAATAATTCGGGGAAAATTTGAAAGAATGACTAGCTTTAACTCCTTTAATTCGATTTTCAAGGATGGATTCAAAAAGAAGTTCCCCTGCGGCGCTTTCTAACCTTCCCCCCCTCTCTCTCACACTCACTCCTTCCAGGGTTACTTAAATTAAACTGTTACGACTATACACGTAATTTTAAATGTTCCCAATCGAGGAGTTGCATGTCAAATTCACAACGGTACCCTTTACATCTCAATCTGAGCGACAATGAAGAAGATATCGTCGTTAATTTCCTACATCACTAATTACAATAGGTCCGCACGACCTTTAATTCAAAATGATCAGTTTTAAGTGGGAAAACCAGGACATCATTATCATTTCTTCCCAGATGAAGGGTTAAAGGGTAAACCGTGCATGCAAGGATACTTAAAATTAAAAGGACAGTCCCTTTAAACCAATTCATTAATTTAGTAAAATTGTCAATATTCATTTCTCCAGATATTTTTTTTTTGGATATTGATTATTTAGACTTTTTTCGCTGAACTTGGGAAAATAAAATATTATTTTTAGAGTGTAGGGGGGGGGGGGGGGATAACTGGAAATAAATACCCCTGTGGCGGGGGGGGCAGAAAAATTCTGTTAATCGTGTTTTACCTGACGAAGTATATGTTGACAACGTTGTTTAGCAAGACGAGCCCCTCCTTTACACAGATTAAACTCATCATGTACTCCAAGAGATTTTCCAACCAGATAGAACATATAAACAACACCTTCCAGACTTGAATCCGCCTAAAACCAGATTGAATAAATAAACAGCACCTTCCAGACTTGAATCCATCTGAAACCAGATAGAATATATTAACAACCCCTTCCAGACTTGAATCCATCTGTAACCAGATAGAATATATTAACAACATTTCCAGACTTGAATCCATCTGTAACCAGATAGAATATATTAACAACATTTCCAGACTTGAATCCATCTGTAACCAGATAGAATATATTAACACCACTTTCCAGACTTGAATCCATCTGAAACCAGATAGTATATATAAACAACACCTTCCAGACTTGAATCAGTCTAAAACCAGATAAAATATATACATTTCAAATGTTATATAAAAATCATGACTAATATACAAATAAAATAAATATAAATTTGAATTAAAAATTATTTCTTAGTTGTTAGCTAACTTCCTTGTATTTAAATAAACTTTACACAAACACATTTTAATTAAAATTTTTTTTAATGGGAAATAAGAAAAATATTTTTTAGGTCAACCATATTTCGAGGTATCCAATATCCATCGGCCACCCCCCATCCCCTTTAATTAAAGAGAGAGACAAAATGAAACCTAAAAACCTACCGTATCCTTGACTCCTATTTTGTGAGGAAACATGAGAAGAGGGCCAAGAAAGCCCCACTGGGTGATCACCATATCGAACTGAGAAATAGATTTTCCCTCAATAACTGTATTTCTACCCTTAGCTGCAGCAGCACGATGCAGCTGAAGAACTTGCCGTAGAGAACTCTTCATAGAATCCACACCTGCATAAAGTTGCAATCTTTATTTAAAAAACTGAAAACATATTTATATGTCCGTTTCAAGTGCGATATGTCCAATAAAAAAGTACCCTCATCAACTATAGTTTGTCTGATCTAGAATAAACTAGATATCCATGATTTCTGTTTAAAAATATGATTTTTAAGTTGTAGGAGCTCAATAAACGTGATTGCAAAATTCTTACTACAGAAACAATGGAGAAAATTTAAGAAAATAATATTTTTTCACACTATTGGTCAAATAGGGGTTTAGAGGGTACCATTGTTAATCAGGCAGGGTCCTCATTAAAACTACAACGATAAATGGAAAGAAAGTTTAAGAGAGAAAAAAGGTCGCAAAAGTTCGGCCTAGAAAATATCTATTATCTAATGTAAAAATTGTCACTATCGGATCCTGGCACGAGAAAGAGGTTGTCGACGCCCTATTTACCAGTTCCATGCTCAATTAATAATGGTGGCAAAATTTTATAGACTTTCTTGTATTTTCTTTCTTAAATTTTCTTTCTTAAAATTGAAAAATTCCAATTTTGGTTTCTCAATAAATCTAACTTAAGGATATATGCAGTAGAAACAAGGATGAATTTGATAATATTCAACACATACTAAGCTCAAGAACGACGATGTATTCCCTCTAAAAGCTTAAAGGTTTCAAGTCTAGTGTTGTCAGTGAAATAGTTGTTAAATAATAATCTTACCTTTAAACCACGTGACTGTGTGGTTGAGAGTTCTTAAATATCTTTGAAAGGAAAGAGCTGGGGTACCAGATTTACCTTAAACGAGACAAATATCAAATATTTAAAGTAATGCTTAATTTCAAGTAATCCTCTTTACAAAGATGACAATTCCCGATTTACAAGGGTTCCTATAAAAGCTTAGTCTGTTTATAGTTTTAATAACTGATTAATTTCAATTACGTAAAATGTGACATACGCACTTCTACTACAGGAAAACATGAATTTTCTTTTGTAGAGAAACCAAAATTAAAAATAATCACTTTTTAAAACAAAAAAAGATGATATTAAATTCACAATTTATCAGACAGATCTTTTACCACTGTGAATCGGGTTTTGCCATCTTTGCATGGAGGATCACTTGAAATTACGCTTACGGTCCCTTTAAGAAGTTTTTAACGAACTTAACTTTAACTAAAGTTCGGGTCTCAACAAAATGCATAAACCTACATATTTTTTGGCCAACTCTGTAGACAACATTTAATTAAAAATTGTCTCAAAAGATCAAATCTAAACTCTGATAATCAAATTAACCATCAATGCTATTGGGGTAAAGTTTCAAGTTTGTACAATCCTAAATCTGGAAAATAAAAAACCCCTATTTACACCACCTTACTTATTAATCTACATCACCTTATTTATATATATCTACACCACCATGTTTATTTATCTACATCACCATATTTATTTATCTACATCACCTTATTTATATATATCTACACCACCATGTTTAATTATCAACATCACCTTATTTATATATATCTACACCACGATGTTTATTTATCTACATCACCATATTTATCTATCTACACCACCTTATTTATTTATCTACACCACCATATTTATTTATCTACACCACCTGATTTATTTTTCTACACCACCTTATTTATTTATCTACACCACCTTAATTGTTTATCTACACCACCATATTTATTTATCTACACCACCTGATTTATTTTTCTACATCACCATATTTATTTATCTACACCACGATGTTTATTTATCTACATCACCATATTTATCTATCTACACCACCTTATTTATTTATCTACACCACCTAATTTATTTTTCTACACCACCATATTTATTTATCGACACCACCTTATTTATTTATCTACACCACCATGTTTATTTATCTACACCACCTGATTTATTTTTCTACATCACCATATTTATTTGTCGACATCACCATATTTATTTATCTACACCACCTTATTTATTTAACTACAGCACCATATTTATTTATCTACACCACCATATTTATTCATCTACACCACCATATTTATTCATCTACACCACCAAATTTTTTATCTACACCACCATATTTATCTATCTACACCACCTTATTCATTTATCTACACCACCATATTTATCTATCTACACCACCATATTTATTTTTTTACATCTCCATTTTAATTTTTCTACACCACCTTATTTATTTATCTACACCACCATATTTATTCATTTATCTACACCACCGGCACCATATTCATTTATCTACCCTACCTTATCTATTTATCTACACCACCTTATTTATTTATCTCATTTATCTACACCACCGGCACCATATTCATTTATCTACCCTACCTTATCTATTTATCTACACCACCTTATTTATTTATCTACACCACCGGCACCATATTCATTTATCTACCCTACCTTATCTATTTATCTACACCACTTTATTTATTTATCTACCTCCCAATCTCATGCTAATTTATTTGCATAACCATATTTATTTATCTACGCCACCATAGCTATTAATTTACAATCCGTCATATTTATTTATCTACCTGTTAAATGCAGAATACGAACTATCGTTGGAACAAACATAAGAGAATAAAGTCCTATCAACATATTGACGAGTACTGAGAAATAGTTCTGATTAAAGTAGATCTGACCCTGGATCACCAACTCATGATCTATCTCAAGATCATCTCCAGCTCCCAGATCATGCTCTTGGAGTTTACCAAGCTCTTCCAATCGTTTGAACCAGCATTCTTCGCCATATTTCCAGGTTTTGATATTTTCATTCTTTTTAACTTCACTTTGGCTCATTTTACCGACAAAGTTCCAAGGGAACTTATAAAGGAAACCTAAAAAAAATCACAAGTATAAAATTTTATTTTAAAAAAAGGTGTACACTAGAGAAGGTATTAAGCACAATTTGACCAGGTAATAAACAGAATCCCCCACCCCCTCAAACAGTAAAAAATTCGACATGGGATATTTTTAGTTTGTACTTGTACTGGTGGCACAGCTTGCTCTGGCTAGTTGAAATTTGGCCCGGCACATAAAATGAACTAGAGTGTACACTGTACATAGTGAATGGCATATGGATTGTAATGTAAAAAAACACTAATAAATGAAAATAAAATTTTAAACAGATATTCATTACACGGGTATTTTGGAAAATGGGTTGTTTTCCCGAATTCAAATAAAATTACAGAATATAAAAATTTAAAAAATCGACAAATTTTAAAGCAAAAAACAGAATTCAGAAAACTAAAAAAATTTAAATCTAAAAAACCAAAAATTCGTATATTACCCGGAAATCGAGCGATAAGAGATAAGAAGGTTGTTAGTGCTGCTTTAGGAAAATTGCCTAAATTGCATGTAAGTTTTTGTATATTAAAACTTATTGTTCCATTTACTAAAGGAAACGTTAACACATTCACGGTTCACAGATAGTTGTAAAATAAATCTGAAGAGACTTTAGTTCTCAGGACTTGATGATAATGGTATTTACTCTTGTTGAATTGTTAATGTTTGTTTGTGGTCTTGGAAAATAAGAGCAGTTAACAAAGAGATTTAGAACGACAAAAAAACCATAATGGGGATTTTGAGCTTCTTCAGAAGTTTTTATTCTCATCAACTTTATTAGAAGTATGTAAAAAATTAACAAAATATCAAAAATATATCATACTGAAAGATAATATTCAAAATTATATGATACTAGATGAAGAGCCCGGCGATTTTTTAGCCTCTAACACTCCCCGGCCATCCTTGAGTGTCCACAAAAAATTTCAGTCCATTCGGTCCAGCCATTTGGCCGGCTATAGGCAACATATATAATATATATACGAATGTCTTGTTTTATTAATTATATTATAGTAAGCTACTTTTTGAAGCACTCTCCAAAAAATGGTATGAAATATGTTTAATTGTACGTTATCAGCAAACAAACAAACTTTTCATCTATAAATAGAATATGTTTGGACTTTTTAGAATTTTCAACATTTTGACTTTTCATCTAAACTAAATTTTTTTTTTAAGACGGGGGTCCGTCCTAGTATACAATTTTTGGACCCCCTCCCCCCCCTCTCCTGTCAATTTTGTACAATTAATTTTTTTTATTTATTTTAGGGTTAGGTTAGGTTAAGACAATTTCTGGGCCGAGCGCTACGGCTAAGATAGGCTCAGGGGGCCGAGCGCCGCGGCTAGGACAGGCTAGGGTGCCGGGCCTGCGGCCACATGATCAATTGTATAGAAATATGCTCTGAGTACACTGGCAGCCAGAATATCCAACCTACTCCAGTCTTCCATACTCATAACAGCTCCAAGAACTATCGGATCAATGCTCCTTTGGACATCTGGGGGAATTATCCTTGTTATACCTGTACCATGACACCTCACTCATGCAAAATTGGAGTCAGATATCCAGTTTTAGTTACTAGCTCCATACTTAACAACTGGCAGGGATTGCGATCCATCAATGGATACCCTGGAGATCCAATCCACATCGAATATATATCCATCCCTGGAGCAACCATCAGGGATCTCCATCATGCATTCCGAGCTGAGTATGGTAATACTCATAGGCCAGTCGACGTGATCCTGTGCAGCGGATTAAATGATTTGATTGCGGGCTCTAGTAGTGATGAAATTATGCAGGATATATATGATTTCAGCAAAACCGTTAGAAGCATCTGCCTCGGCGAGAACAGAGCATACTGGAGCAGTTTTGCAGCAGCAACCCTACCCTTCCCACCTCAGCTAGTATCTCTCTGTGAGAAGGATAGAAAACTCAAGCATAACTACCGGAATACCCTTGTCAACATCACAACAAGAATTCGAGAGATGAATCGAGGTGACAAACATCCCCATATACCAACAGACATGGCTCCATGCTTCCACACCTGGGGTGTTCGTATCATGCAACACAACAAAGTGATCGGACCCGCTAACCTCATGGAAAATTTTGCTGACCACCGACTAGTATCCTGGAAAGGCACTAAACCCAAGCAAATGCTTCATCTCTCAGATGCACTGAAGCTAAAGATGGGCAAATCTATAGTGACATATTTTAAAGTGATCTACAGAATAACCGAGGACAGTTTTAGATCTAAGAATGAAGCTCTAGCTCATAGATCAACTAAAGCCAAAAAATAATGTCCCCAGCCACCAAAGTTCAGTTCAGGTTCAAGGTTTATTTGATAAACTATATAAACATTATAAATTGGTTAACTATCCAATGTTTTGTGCATTTCTCGATATTATTATTTTCTCGTATTCTTTCTTATTTGTTTTCTAACCTCTTCCTATGATATTAGACGAGAAGTCTTTATTTACCCTAGACGAGAAGTCTTTTTCTATTTGCTATTTTCCATTTTCTATTATAATCAAAAAAAGAGGTCCTTTTTTATTTCATGTAGGATCATATTCCAGATCTCAGAGTTGTCAAGTCTTTACTAGTTTAAATTCCATACTTTAAATTAGAGAGTAATTTGCGAGAAGCATTTTTGTAAATATATATATAAATGAATATTCGTGTGTTTTTATCATTATTACACAATTTTCTCAGATCTGTACCATTATTGTTTCAATAAAAAGTTTGAAAGAGATGTATATAGAGGATTGTATGTGTACTCCGTATAATGAGGAGTGTACGTGTACTATGTACAATGAGGAGTGTATGTGTACTATGTATAATGAGGAGTGTATGTGAACTATGTATAATGAGGAGTGTATGCGTACTTTGTGTATAGTGGACTGTGTGTGTACTATGTATATTGCGGAGTGTATGTGTACTATGCATAATGAGGAGTGTATGTGTACAATGTATATAATGAGGATTGTGCGTCCTTATATTATTGGAATATGTAAAATTATATGGGTAAAACTTTTGCAAGTGTATGTGTACTACGTACATAGGGGAATGTATGTGTACTATTTAAATTGCAAGTGTATGTGTACTATGTACATAGGGGATTGCATGTGTACTATGTATATTGCGGAGTGTATGTGTAAGTGTATTATGTATAATGTGGAGTGTATATGTACCATGTATATAGTGGATTGTATGTGTACTATGTATATTGGGGAGTGTATGTGTACTATGTATATTGGGGAGTGTATGTGTACTATGTATATTGGGGAGTGTATTTGTACTATGTATATTGGGGAGTGTATGTGTACCATGTATATAGTGGATTGTATGTGTACTATGTATATTGGGGAGTGTATGTGTACTATGTACAATTATTTGTACGATGATATGAACAATAAATGGTGTACTTTGTTTAAGGTGTACTTTGCCTGCTGATTGGTCATGTACTAAACTTGAACACAATAGAACCTGCTGCAGAAAATATAGAATATTCTAGATTTCAATTGATCTCTGTAACTCTCTTATCTGTGCATTAAATGTTGAACTCCATTTGGGATATTCCTATGTAGTTTAAATATCGTAATCTTTATTATTTTTTTATATAGAATGTACTTTTGACAACAATCCAAAACAATCATTATTACACATTCCTTTTTGGATTGTTTTGTCTATATTTTTATCAGGACCCAAATTTGGCATAGTTTAATAAAACCAAATGTTTAGAATAAGCAAATTTGAAAACAATTGATTTTTTAAATATTATGATGAATTTTGACGCTGACCCTAATAATAAATGATCCAAAAACAAACCAACTCAATGCACAATTTTGATATGTTTTTAATCTATTACCAGCCAAACTAAAACACTAATAGGTGTAGAACAAGGAACAATTCACAACAATTTACTTATAAACAGAATAAAATTGTATTTTCAATTTTCCATATCTTCTGAGATCCTTTCCACTATCTCCATATCCAATTCCAATTCCTCAGCTGTGGTTTAGTACTTAACCTATGCAAACAGTGTATGTACACTTAATTAGATTTATAAATGATCTTGAAAATGCTACTTCTACAGGAAATGTTTAATACAACAACTGAATTATATCTGAGATGATTTATTGCCATTCACAAACCTTTTTATGTCTTTTAAAACTTACAAATAAATTATCTGGTAACCTTTAAACAAAATATAAAGATTTAACAACTTGTCTGAATCTTGGGACGCAAGCTCCATTATGTTTTAACTAAAAAACTTTTAAATAAGTTTTATATTAATTAATGCATAGTATAATACTTACTTTAGATGTTTTAAGAGAAATTACCTATGTTATTCATGCCTAATAATATCAGGCATATTTTCTTAATAATATCAATGTGAACCTTTGGGAAAATAATGTGTGAAAAACTCTTTCCATGTTATTTTCAAATAATAAGAAAGGAACAATACTACTAGCATTGCAATTTCTTATTTTAAAAAAAAACTTTGAATTTCAAAAATCTGGTAAAGAGGTTTATCATAAATAAACTATGCGACATGGATAACATATTACTTTTTTCCTGTTGATTAATTTACAGTTTCCTACACGCTTTTAGTTCTTTTATGTTTAGAAGTGCATTACAATGTAACTAGTACTTACAAATTCTTCGATGTTTTGTTGGATTTACTGTTGAAGTGGTAGTAGTGGTAGAAGAAGTAGTAATAGTAGTAGAAGTAGTAGAAGAAGTAGTAGTAGTAGAAGAAGATGTAGTTGTAGTAGTTGTGGAATTTATTGTAGAAATAGAGGCATTAGTATTTGTTGTGTAAGTAGATGTAGACATTGAAATAGAAGATGAAGTATTTCTAGGAGTGGAAGTTAATGTAGTTTCAGAAGTAATATTATGTGTAATAGAGGTGTAAGTATTGGTAGTAGATGTAGTATTTGATGTAAGAATTGAAGTTGTAGTGGTTGTTGAATCAGTTGTAGTAAAATTAGTTGGTGTAGTAGTTGATGTAGTAACTTCAGTAGAAGTTAATGTAGTAGTTGATGCAGTAATTTCATTAGTAGTTGATGTAGAAGTTGATGTAGAAGTGGATGAAGAAGTGGATGTAGTAGATATTTCAGAAGTAGTTGATCTTGAACTAGATGTAGTCGGACACTCTTTCAAGAATCCAGTAATACCCAGAGCAGGTAAATATTCCACTCCTGTTTCGTTCTTTAGAAAACAGGAACCTGTCTTGTCCCAGAAGAAGCTTTTACACATTCTATATCATAAAAATACTTATATTTAATTGACCCACAAACAATTCAAGATATTACATTTGCATTTTTGATGTTTCATTCAAATGGCTTCACGCTTATTCATGCTATTTCAGTATTGATTGTTTCAACTATCGAGTTTATTATCAAAACAGAAAAATTAGAAAGACGAGAAACCTATTTAGACCTATAGTAAATACTTTTTGTATGTATTTTACGACATATTTCCTTAAGCGACTACATTGGCATCCACACAAACTAAAGCTGTTGATTCCGCTAACTGAAATAAATATAATTCCTAATTAGTAATGACAGATTTTATAAAATTTTAAGTAGAGTGCAGGTTTAAAAATATCTGTGAAAAACAAAGATATGCAAAAAATACCTTCCAGAAAAGTTGTCCCTTTGTACTCTTTATCTTGTTCAGAACAATATTCTGTATTAGGACAACCTGAAAATGATTTAATAAACGTTTTGTAAGATTAGAAAAGTTATCCCGTTGTACTCTTTATCTTGTTCAGAACAATATTCTGTATTAGGACAACCTGAAAATGATTTAATAAACGTTTTGTAAGATTAGAAAAGTTGACAAAGTCTGAAATATTTAAAACCAAATTTTGGAGAGCAGAGTTCATTCAATTGTTTAGATGAGAGTTGAGAAGACTATTTTAATGAGATTGCAACAAGGATTATTTGTTCTTTACTTATTTTGGTATTTCTTTACGTTACTTTTTTTCTTCTCAAATTTCATATTGTTGAGATAAAGAATTAACCTGTTTCTCTGAGGCTCCTAACCTCACTGGAACAGTTATAGATTCCTGTTATGCAAACAGGATCTAATAAAGATCTGTTATCTGGCTTGCACCAGCAGGCATTCGGGGTAAGAGTGAACCTCGTGCTAACCCATTATTTTATCTCAATTTTGTTAACGTTTGTATCCTTTCTAAGAAAAAAACATAATCCTATGATACTTTTTCTACAGGGTGTCCCAAAAAACATGGGAATTCAGTGACACATTCAATATTGTCTTTGTTATGAATTAGCATTGTAATACCTGATTTCAACAGCCATTATATTATTATGTCTGCTATAGTTTATTTTATGAAAAGGATAAAAGACTGTAAACAATATGTCTATAATGTCTCCACAAGATGAACAGTGAAGACGGACAAGCTTACTCTGTTTGTATACTGCATTTTTTTTGTTTTACTAAGTACAACCATGTAGTTCAAAACATAAACAAACAAAATGTGAACATAGCAGACAAAACTCTTACAGATCATAGCTTTCTCAGTAGGTATCACTATACTAAATCAAAGAATTATTTAAAAAGACGATATCAAATTTGTCACTGAATTCCCATGTTTATTGGGACACCCTGTATATCTATATCAAGAAGGAATTGGTTTATGCTTGGGTTTTGAAATATTTTTCAGTTTATTAAATAATTTTTCCTTATGCTTCAAAATTTTATGATAAACAATTACAGGCATGAAATATTTTTACTAAATTATGTAGTAATAGTAAAAATGTGGCATCAAACATTATAGAAAACGCTGGGTATAGCAACAAGGCATATTTTCCGTGAGAATTTTTTTTATATTCTTGAGAAATTAAACGTTTTTGTAAAACATTGTAGCTTATCATTGTCATTATCATTATTTCTATTTTTTTAAGATACCCTAGAGTAGATCACTATACAACTAACTAGATTAATATGTACCTTTGAACTGCTCTCTATTGTGTTCAAGGTCCCCTAGATTTTATTATGTACTGACAACATAAATGAATGTGTATATGGTTACAAAAACTATTTTATGAAAATGATATGTACAGTTTTATTTTTACAAAAAAAATTCTCAAAAATATAACAAAAATTCTCCAGTAATGCTAATATGATTTCATAAAATTCAGTTCACCATTTAAATAAAAGGATTTTTTGAAAATTATATCTACTTTATACTGATTATTTAAGTTCTCAAAAATATTAAAAATTTTCTCCTGTAAAATATGCCTTTTTGCTAAACCTAGCCATTTCATATTTTGGATTTCTTTAAAGTTTGACGCCATTAACGTAAGAAATGAAATTGACTTTTAGATCATATAACAAAGAGTCAAATACATTAATAATGATGTAATTTTGAGATTAAAGAATGTCCTAATGTTTTTGCAGAAGCAACTGCATTCAGAGATTGTTCTGATATTGTAATCAACTAAATAACATTACAGGAAAAATAAAGAAAAATATAACTGTCTAGATTGTATCTTGTTTAGGGTTTCCACAAAGCAATTTTAAGCAATTTGACCAAAATTGTGAGTTTCAGACAGTTCAGTCAAGTTGCAGTACAGAATTAAACATCTTAAGGTTTATTAAAAAATTTAAATAAAAATTATGATTATGCTTTACAGAATGGGTTACTTTTAAGTAAAAAACTACAAATTGAGGGACTTAAATTTATAAAATATTAATTAGGAAATTGAAAATCAAAAATTGAAAATTGATGTCTGATTCTTTCTGTGGCCTTTGGTTTTCCTTTTTTAAGTATAAGCAATTGTATGCCGAAAAGTGCAATCTCATTGATAAGTTATGTATACAGTTTACTCACTTTTAATCAACCTTTAGCTCAACAAAAGCAAAAATTTCATTTTCTTTTCGTAAAAATTGCACAAACATTTTGCAAATGAAAACCCTCTGTTTGTACTTACTTTTTAGATTTTTATCTGGAAAGTTTATTCCTGGCAAGAAGCATTCATTCTGCACACAGCTCTCTAATAAAATAGAGTTGTATTCAGTAAATGTGTTTTTTTGTGTTTATTTATAAAAGAACTAATGATATTCCACACATAGTATTTTGATAACAGTCCTCGTAGCTGTTTAAGTTGTTTTTCAACAAAGTTGACTAGCTTCAAATATTTGATTTCCAATCATAAAATAATTATTAAAACTTTATTCAATCCAACTTTATTAATTTTAAATGAATATTTAAATATTGTCAGACTGAAAAACAAGTGGAATTAATGTTTTCAACAAAAAGTAGGTATTGGAACATTTCATAGAAAGACATTTTATAGAAAGACATTTCATAGATAGGACATTTGACAGACAGAGAAAACTTTTATAGAAAAGATAATTTTTTTTCCTTCATCCAAGGGTTTTTATCTGATAAATAATAACTGTTATTTTATGTCTCTCTGAGTTTTCTTGTAAAACAATACATTGATAACAAAATATATGTATACTTAGTCTCAGACTTATTTGACTGAAATTGACAATTTAAGGAACAGCTGAAATAGTTCTTCTTCCAATTATCAGCTTGTTTTATCAAATATCTGAACCATTATTATCTGTGACACCCTGTAGTTGAAGAAAATATAAGCACCTTTTGCCTTCGAATCTACAGATTCAATTGTAGTTGAGATTGCTGCTGGTATTGTTATTGCTGTTGTATCAATTGATGGTGTTAAAGTGGTACTCTCCAGACAATTAAATGCACCAGATATAGCATCAAAATTACTGAACTTTGACAGGTCTGCACTCAGATGACAGGTGCACCAGTTATTGGACTTGAACCATGTGAATAATTTGAATCCAGTCTTACATTTGCAAACACAGTCCTCAAGGGAAACAGAAAAGATAGGAAAATCTAAAGATAAAGTTCATGTAATTTAGAAGTAAAGCATATTTATTATCTTATCCACCACCCTGGACTAACCAAAGTTAGAGGCATTATTATGTTTCTTCAATTTGAAATGATACAAGTTTTGGTCTATAATTAAGCAATCATTAAACTTACAGATTTGTTTGTTTATACTTTTCATGCTGGCAAAAAAGTATTTCAAAATAAAGGCTTAAAAATTATGCTTTTAGGACAAGTTGTGATCGAAATGACAGAAGTCAAAGAACCATGTTTCTAGAACTTAAACGAAAACCCTATCACTTACTTTTGGTATTATAACCTCACCCCCCCCCCCCCACAGTAGGGGTTAGGTTAGGTTAGGTTAAAAATGGACTAGCATAACCTAACTTACCAGCTCCAGATGTATATACATATTGTGAACCAAGATGATAACACAAATTTTCCATACAATCTTTAGGGACACCTTGGATATCTATTTCAGATGTGCCAAGGACAGTTGGACTATTCCAAATAGACGGGGCAGGTGCATAAGACCCTTCTAACATAGAGATCCTAAAACATATGGTTATATACAATATTCTAGTCTTAAGACCCCACATGGTCAAAACTCCAGCCCCAACTAACAGTAACCATGTATACTTGCACATACAACAGAGGCTGGTGTCCTTCATTAGGTCTTTCCCCCCTTAAGAGTTGCAATTCCAACACAATGTATCATGTATTTACATTTAACAAACACATTTAAAGCATAAATTACAAGCTTCCCCCGTAATTGATTTCTAAACAATTAATAATCAACCTTAAAAATTTAGCCAGCAAAGTTGGGCTTGGATGATACTGAAATGTAATACATACCAAAATATAAATTACAAGGCTTTTAGAGCACTTCACGCCCATGTTCTATTCTAATTGTGAACATGTTCTCTGTGAATACATTGTAAAACAAAAATAAATAAAAAATGTTGCGGGTTTTATAAGAATTTCAAGGATATTTAAAATTTCCAGAAACCAAGTATTGTTAGAGGCCAATTGTTGAAAATTGGATCATCCATATACCTTCCCTGGGGTAACAGAAGGTCCAACAAAAAATGAAGGCCCAATCAGTTCAACTGTTTGGACGTTTATTGGATACATACAGTCACCCTTATTTGACAAGGAGAGTATATTGAGATACATGCCTTTCACTTTAGATGGTTCAAAAAGGTTTACGCCTTGAATTTTCCCACTTTCATGTTTTAGTAAAGTTATTATTTTTGTATTTACATAACCAAAAAAGTATTTCTTCTTTCTATATTTTGAATTTTTAAAATTTCCTCTCAAATTTCTACTTTTATTTATTTTAAAAATAACATCAACAGCAGAACCATTACCCCTAAGTCAAATCACATGATCTCAGGGAAAGTTTCTGGTTGGTTGAAGCTGAAATCACATGACCTCAGGGAAAGTTTCTGGTTGGTTAAAGTTGAAAACTTTTCACGAAAAATATGCAATTGTTTTGTTATATTAAGAAGGTACCAACTAGCAAGATTAATTCTACAAAACATGGAAAACAAAATTTATTAATTTTTTCATATTTTGTAACTTTAAAAACCTGTTATATCCAAAATGAGGTGAAATACAGCACATTCAACATTTAAGAGTACTAGCACTAAACCAGCACATCCTATAGCTGCATCCCTCAGCTCAGTTGTAATAACTCCTAATTCTAGCATAAAGTAAAATTCCTACTGCCAACTTTTAGTAATAGTCAACGTGTATTAAAATTCAACTCTTTGTTATTTAGTATTTTGAACTATTTATCTTTTAATCAACATATTGTACCCACTCATTTAATTTTCCTCCTCAAAACTTTGCTTATTCCATGCCTGCCCCCCCCCCCTTATTTCTTTGATACCTGTACCCCTTTACTTTAAATCATACCTGCACCCCCTTTATTCATTAATATCTGTCCCCTTGTGTTTTTTTTCATACACGCCTCCCCATATCTGTTTTCATCCATTCCCCTTCATTTTTTTTCTCCCCACGTTGAAAAGCGCCTTAACCTGCATTCCATTCCATTTATAAATGATATATTTAGATTTAGTTGCTCAAATATATAAGAAATGATTAAAAGTTGGACTACTCTTACTTGTTTCTAAAGCACCAATTGGTATTTTGCTTTTATAAAGTTGGAAAAGTTTGAATATTTTGAAAACCATTTGAAAGTGATTAATACTGCACAGAGAGGTGTGGGAAGGAAGGGGGTTGTAATATAAAATTGAAAATTGATAATTGATTTAAATTATAAAAATTATATCAACATTTAACAAATTAGATCTAAAGAAAATATAAATGGGATTTGTAACAAATCAACTTGTTTACCGCATTTTATTTTTTTCTCTTATCCTGAGCTGGTAACTTTAAAATTGAATTACCTTTAATCCTGAGTCTAAAACTAAAGAACGAAAAGTTTTGACTTAAATTTTAAGTTCATGGTTAAATGCCACTTTTGACTTAATTTAAAGCTGAACTTTAACAGGGAGGTTAAATATTTAACCCTTTGGTTAAATATTTAACTCACCGAAATCGACGAGTTAAAATTTAAACACAGGGTTAAAACAGCTGATTACCGAATGCCGATACTTACATAATAATTCTTTAAATCCTTTTCTCTGATTGGTTCAGATTTTTCCCGGGAAATTCAAATTTAAAATTGAGAAAGTTTAATATTTAATTAGCTATTCATTATTTTACAGAACTTTTAACCTGAAACTTAACCCTATCCCCGCTGGGGTACTTGAAAACCAGGATACGCTGGGGGGGTGTCAATTTGACCCCCCCTCTAAATCCCATGTTTTATGTCCAAATATGACAAATGATACATCATTAGAAAGCTCTTGTGCTCTACTTTTAGAATCTGCAAAAAAATTTGCAAATTTGCGAAAATTGAATTTTTTATCGCAAAATCCAGTTTTATAGTAAAAATGTTTGCAAAAAAAAATTTGTCCAAAAAATGACAAAAAATACATTTTTGAAAAGCCCTTGACCATGCCATTTCAAAATTTTAAATAACCTGATTTTTAATCAAGAAAAACTAAAAGTGTGCAAATTTCCTTTGACAGGTTGTTCGCAAAAAATTTGCAATTTTTTTTCGCAAAACTTGTGCAATCCGTTTCCTTATGTCATAGGCTTTCCAAAAAGCTAAATTTTATCAAAATCTGACAAGTGAAAGTGGGTCAAAACAAAGATTTACTTTGCTACAGGCAAAAGCAGTCATTCAGGCAGTGTGCCTGAGGACTCAGGCAGTTAGTATTAAAGCCCGGTTTTAGACCTAAAGGGAGGGCTTTGGGTATGTAAGAAAAGTCAGAAAATTTCAACAGCCTCAGACCAATACTTTTTGAGTTATGTAAAAAAAAACTACAGGGGGGGGGGACTTCACCCCCCCCCAGCGGGAATAGGGTTAAAATTCGTGCATTCTTTAGTTTTAGACTCTTGTCGCTTAATCTAAATATCTAATGTGAACACTTTTAACTTCTTGCTTAATCTGCTCTTTTTGGATATCCTTACAGTATCAAAGATACAGATATGATGATATATTGATTGGACTTATATATCAGATTAAACAAACTTTCAATTTCATTAGAGTGAGCTCTTCACTAATTGGTTTTGAATTAAATAAAAATTGCCTTAAATTGAAATAAACAATATTTTTGTTCACTTGGGCATCGTCATTATAGAGATCATTTTTCACAGACAAAAACTATTTTTTTATATTCATTCTATCCAAAAACTATGCCCAATACCCATCTTAATCTATAGCGTCCTGTTCTTCAACCTGTCCTAGCTGCACCACTTAGCCCCTAAATGGTAAAAACCTATCCTGATCCTCAAATAATTTAAATGTCCTTAAATTTTTAAAAATTGATTGACAGTAATTTTTATTAATTGAAAAATTAGTTCAATTGAACAAATTGAACATTAGTCCAAAAAACCATTAAACCAAACTTAACTTGGTTTAGTCAATCATTATTTTAATCATAAACAAGTTTTTCAAAATTAGATTGACATGCTAAATTTCATTTTCAAATTTCCTGGCTGATTCGCCACTCTGATTGGTTGGATTTTGTACACTTTGTTGGGTACACAATACACATATAAGATCTTGAAATTAACATAAAGAGGAGATTATGAATCAATCTCAATATCCACATTCCACAATTCTAAAGTTTTTAGCTCTTATCATTCATAATGTTTGGATGTTCATTTGATTTGCTACTGTAAAAATTGATGCAATCAGAAAACTCATTCAAATCTTATAGTGAGATTATGTCAAAACTCATCTCGAAATAGTGCTGATCAAAATAGTCAATTTGATAACAGATAGTTGAATCAATAAATTGGTTGGCTATAAAATAACTTTTGCAATTTTGGGTATGTCGGTAAGAGAGTTTTAAGTCATCAGAGACTATCATGTTGGGGTACCAAAATGTAACTATCTTTAACTTAAATACCTTATTTTTAAGTGAAAGTGTGTAATTTAAAAACAGAAAGTACCATTAACAAATGGATTAATTAGTTTTTAGCTAAGAATAAACTACCTGAATCTGAATGTACTAAACCCACTTGCACATATTTTGAATATCTGATTAAGTTGGTACCACATAAAAAATGGGGGGGGGGGGGACACTAAACTTGAGTCATTTTTAAAGTTTGGCCTAAAACTGACATAAAGAACCATGACCTAAAAGAACATGCATATGTGAGGACTTATTTCTCCCTATATGGGCGAAAATGTAAAATCCGTTTTACTCCAAAACCCATTTCAAACCATTTAAAACTGATGACATTGCCAATCTTCAAGGAGCAAATGCCGTAAGGAAGAAAAGCATGTTTGTTGGTTGGTTTGAATCTAATTTTTAGCTCTAATTTTACAATGAGACAAAATATTTGTTGTAATTCTGAAATAGTTTTCAGAAGAATTTTAAAATGTTTTACGCCTGTTTGTTTCTTTCTGGATTCATGATTTTTACCAATGGTCAAACTCCAAATGATTTAAATAACAAAATATCTTATTTCCTTCAAGATCTTACAGGTGCAGTAGATAAATAAATTTAAGAAAATCATAATTTTTCGAATTGATTATAGGAGCAAAGTTATCAAAATCTGTTGAGAGAAAAAGGTATTGTGACAGGTATTCTTTATTTAGAAATTACACTTTTATTCATTATATTATATCTATAGGACTGAGGACTTCCTACAAATAAACATAGGGTAAAACTTCTAAATGAGACAAAAATCTAGCAAGACAAACATTAATGCCTAATGTAGAAGTCCAGTCACAAATCGCAATGCAAGAGACAAGTCAGACATCTGTGATTTCAAATTTAAAAAAAAATTTAATTACTATTGTCCCACTGAGTGAAAGGGTTTACTTTTATTACAAAAAAAATATTAGTAATATGTTTAGGTTTTAATAGAAGCCATGTCGTCTTTAAAATCTTAGATCTAACCCTGCATTCCTTTATTATAAGCAATCAAAAGTAAAGACATTTAGACGGAAGATGATTGGGTGGGGCTAAGAAAGTGCTACGAGGGAAGGGGTGCAGAGACGCCATGATCCCCGCAAAAATTACCTTTGAGCCTCAGGATTTGCAGAATTACCTCCAGGCCCCGCAAAACTGGTCTCCCAGCCTTAGTGACGTCACCAAGCCTCCCGCCATTCTGTCTCCACGCCCGCATTTTGGTCTACGCTTGTTGATTTTATTTTTTGTTTAAATTTATTGGCTTAACCAAACAAATATCAACATATATCTCTTCATAGTAGACTCCGTCATAGTTTAAAGAATCGTCTAATCAACAAATTTGACATGTTAATTCATTCAATTGTTCTGGAGTTGTGTTTCTGTAAAAGTTTACATTAAAATGGAATGAGTAAAAGATGACCTTTATAAACGACATATCTAATATTTTTGAAGGCATCATGATTTGAAGATTTTCTTTACTCTCGATTCCTTAGCATTACATTTTATCTTAAAAATGCAAATTAATGAGGATCTGTTCTAAAATATACAAGTTTTTGCCCCCCCCCCCACCTCTGTATATAAATTTTTTGGTCAAATAAATGAATTCTCTCACTAAAAGAAAAACTATTTAGGATCAAATTTAACTTATTAAAACAAGAAGATATGACACGAAGCTGCGGTAACCTGTTAGTAAAGCATTAATAGATATTTAGATTATTTTAATTCTTTGTTTCAATTTTTTAAAAAATAGTTCTTCAATATTTTCCAAAGCATACGATAAAATCACAAATACAAGGATTTCACAAAAACTACCTTGTTTTGTAAATTGCCGCTGATATTGTTTAATTCGTATATGAGACCCCTCTAAAATAATATAAATTTTTTTTATGTTTATAAAAAACTGCAATAGTTCTTCACAATTTAAGGAATTTGTGAAATTTAGAAAAACAAAATACAAGCCTTTAATCTTAATTAAAATTCACTTTTTAATACAAAATGTTAATGTATCATTCTGAACTATTTCATCATGTTGAGAATCTTTTAAAAAAAAGGTTCTTGGTGGAAATAAAAACCAAATATTTTTTTATTGGCGCCAAAATGCGGGGCGTGGAGACAGAATGGCAGGAGGCTTGATGACGTCACTGAGGCTGGGAGACCAGTTTTGAGGGGCCTGGAGGTAATTCTGCAAATCCTGAGGCTTGGAGGTCATTTATTACGGGGATCATGGCGCCTCTGCACCCCCTCCCTCGTACTGCCACATGTCTATGTTGGTGAGTAAATTGCAGGATGTAGGCTATACTTTCTCCCCTAGTAGAGGGCAGATATGTATATGTCTGACCTCCTAAATATTGGATTTGTTTGATACTTCACAAGTTTTTTGACCTAAGTAAAAAAGTCCTTAAAAAGGATTTGAGTTTTTGGCTCAAACTCAACATGTTTACAACCTTATTGTGTAAATCTTGATATTTCAAACTTAGATTATTTAATTTATCAGAGCTTATAGTTTGAGATATCTAAGAATAAAATTCGAAGAAAATTCTATACCAACCAGAGCTGAAAACTTTAGAATGTGATATCCCTAATACTGATCTGTTAATTAATCTGGAGATTAAATTCATGAGGAAAACAAGCAATATTTGATCTGGAGATAAAAAAAGAGTGGATCATGCATTAATCCTGATATCCACCATTCTAAAGTTCCCAGCTCAGATGTGTCTTATTTAACTGTCCATTATAGCACATGTGCTGCTATAAAGTTTTGTTTGGTTTCTTGATTTTCTCCAAAACATTTTAAATATTTCCAAATAATTTTTTTGATTAAAATGTAAACAAAATTGAAATCAATTTTGTAATTTGACTTTTGCTTTGTTACAAAGCTTATTTTATCTAGATATAGCCATTGAAATTAGACAAGTACACAAACATTTCATAAAATTACCTATAATACTTTTATTTTTGGACTTAAATTGTCTCTATATCTTGTAGGTTCTTGCCTTTTTAATTATATTTTGTCCCTCACTAAAACTTGGGACAATATAAAATAAAAGAATTTCTGTCTAAAACTTTATAACACTGCGAACAAAAATAACAGTGTTATAAACAGTAATAAATTAGTATAAAACTACACTTTTACTTACAGAGAGAATTTCCTTCAGGAGAACTGCACTTCACCGGAAATTGACTTTTCCGTGTGTTTTTTCACTTAAGCTTGTGATGAAATTTCATCAAAAAAGTCTCAAAAACACTTGGAAAAGTAGATTCCTGGTAAAGTTGCCAGTTCTCCCTGCTAAACCCTTGCTAATTAGTTATTACTAAACAGTAGTCAGTCAATATTTTCCTGGAAAAGTAAAATTTTAATTTAAAAGTTGTGACAATGAAGTTCAAATCTGAATTTATATTCAATAAGTAATATACTGAAAATAGATATTTTTAATAATAGATAATTATGGTTTTTAAGTGATATAAAGCTAATTATTGAATTTCAATAGCCTATGCATTTTTCAATAAAGTTCTCCTAAATGAAGGGATCAAATTCAAATTTGAATTGGATTCAGCATATACCCTTTTAATTATTCATATACACTTACTTTCAACCAGGACCCCAATTAACTTTTGAATTATCTTATCATGTGAAAAGTTTCATTTGGATCACTTGGTGTCCAATGATAGATCATAATGTTTTAATTACGATTAACTTTACCCATTATAGGTAATCGGATCAAGAAATATCAGGATTGGAGTAAGGAAACCAACACTAATTATTTTCATCAACATAGATAAAAACATTAACCATGAAGATAAGAAGGATTTTTTTCTGATCAGATTGTTATGTAGTAAGAGTCTGCGTAGAAATCATAATCATGGAGTTGGAGACCCCATTCACCAGAGACCCCCATGGAAGTCCCCAGATTCTCATTGGAGACCCCAGTATTTTCATTTGATACCCCATATTTTCATTTGAGACCCCCAAATTTGTGTTGGAGAATCACATGGGAGACCCCATAGTTTAGTTGAAGACCCCCATTATTTTGTCAGACCCCAGATTCTTGTTGGAGAGTGGAGACCCCAATATTCCAAACTTTCATTGCAGGCCCTCTTATTTTCATTAGAGACGCCATGTTTTTGTTAAAGATCCTCATATTTTTGTTTAAGACCCCTATATTTTAATTGTAGACCCCCACATTTTCTTTGTAAACCCCCTTTTTTCATTGGAGTCCCCCATATTATCATTGGAGACCCCAAATTCTCATTAAAGACCCAAGCTTTTTTGTAGACCCCAGCTTTTTTGTTGGAAACCCACAGATTAATGTTGGAGACCCTCAGATTTTCATTGGAGATCCAACAAAAATACAGGGTCTACAATGAGAATCTGGGGGTCTCCAATGAAAATATGGGGGTCTTCAGCAAAAATATGGGGTCTCCAATGAGACCTCCATGGGGTTTCCAATGAGACATCCATGGCGTTTTTAATTATTCTCCATTGACAATGATTTCTTCCCAGATTTATTGAGTAGTTAACCCTGTAGAAATGTCAGTCACACAAAGGACCAGCAAACGATCAGACTGATAGACTCAAAACTGAAAAATTAACATACTAATGTTATTAAGTGTAATCTTCTGAGATACCAGAAAAATTTCAAAATAAACTAAGTAAATGCTAAAATCTTTTTTAACAAGAATAAGAAGTCTTAAATTGACCTATAACTTTAGAATGATCAATTTACCAGACTGCTTGGCTTAGCATGCTTATATTTGTCTCAAAAAGTCTCAGGGCAAATATTCATAAAACAAAATAACCACAGAATATAAAGTTTGTGAAAGGAAAAGGACAGCTCCTAAAACTGAAAATTATCTTGACTAGTAAAACCAATTGAAGGGGTTAACCTAAATCCCACTATCTATGAGATAGACATCAAATGAGAACAATTTCTCCTTAACCTTTATCTGCTCTTAATTTCTGATTAAGATATTATTTCTTAAATCCTTGACCATCGGATTAAATTATTAAAGGTTGATAATACAAATTCTCTCTCATGATCATCTGGTTTCTGATTAACAACTACTGTAGAATTTAGAAAGACTGATAGACACAGATTTTAATTCAATTTAATGAATTGTTTAAGATGTGGATATAGGAAACAAAAATAATTAATATGTTTACAATAGATTTGAAGCAATAAACAAATCAACTTTTTTCATGCACAAAAAAAAAGGCAAACGTTTGGGGAATTCACCTATTAAAATTTCCTGGACTATTTCAGCTAAATTTTTTAATCTATAAATTTGTCTCCTTTAGATGGATATTCATATTTGGAACTTTACAATAATTCTCAAATCATAAAATTCAGGTAATACTTTGAGAAATTCTTATTCTTACCCTTCTTTTAGTAATTGTCAATATTAAAATTTTTTCATAAAAATCATGTTTAGGAATATTAATGGATATGTTTTTGTTGGCATTTGGTCTACGTTTTATTTAATGCCAAAGTTCCCAGGCTCTACCTTAGAAAACCTAAATTCATTGAATAATCAGAAATTAAGGCAAGTATGAGTTTGATACATTTGGATACCATAAAGGTTGAGAAAAAAATATTCTTACAGGATTTCCTACAACAATTATGTGCCACAGTTTGAACTTCAAAACGGAAAAATTTCAATGAAGACATCAGAGGGATTATGCATTGCCAGTTACATAGGTGTTAAAATTAAATCTTTTTGACAAAAACAAATATGAAATATGGCTGGGTGTGATAGTTGTAAAGTTGGGCATCCTTGCTATTCATTATTAAACCTGTAGAATTTTTTTACTTTATTGATTGATACTCCAAACAACTCTTTAACATTTAGAATATTTCATAATTGTAATCTCCGAAACCTTTTTACGTACATACACAAAGTAAAAATAATAGTTGTTTTGCTTAGTTTCATTAGAAGGGAAAATGCAGTATACATCTGGGACACCTGACCAAAAATTGATTTGGAAGTGGTTTATACCACATTTGTGTTGTTTACCAAGGCCAAATTGTTTAAACCGATAGTTTTAGGTGGGGAAATGGGGTTGAAATGTATGTGGCCTGAACTGTCTACTGTTTAAGATTAACTATTAGAAGAGTATAGAAAAAAGTGTATGTAGGTAGATTGGGTAAGCCGTCTTAGGCGCTGCTTTAGAATATTCTATGTTGAATTATAATATTGTGGAAGAGAAGTTACAATACTAATGTATAGCATAACTATTTGTAACACTGTTATTTTGGTTCACAGTGTTAGATTTTGGACAGAAATTTTCTCTTTATCAAGAAACCTCAAGCCTTTTTAAATTTAATTTTGTCTCAAGCTTTAGCGAGGGACAAATTATAATCTAAAAAGGCGAGAACCTTTGATATTTAGAAAAATTTAAGTTCAAAAACCTTTTAGCATGTCTTGTCAAAATAATAGTGTTTTAGGAAATTTTATGAAACATTTGAGTACTTGTCTTCAATGGCTGTTTCTAGATCAAATAAGCAGACACAAAGCAGACAAAATGTAAAGTTGATTTCAAGTTTATTATCATTTCAATTGAAAAACATATCCTAAATTTGTTGGCGAAAATCCACGAACCAATCAAAACCTTATAAAACACATGTTATAAAAAACAGCTAATTTAATATTATAGCACGATGATTACTTTATAGCACATTCATTATGAAATTCACTAGGAAGTGAGAAAGAATGATAAAGTACACTATGGTTTCATAAAGTACTTTAAGATATCCTGCAAATTGGTCACATTTTTCTCAATTTTCGTGAATAACTCAGTCAGGCAATCAACTAAAATTTACAATAAAACTAAACTCACTCTTCAAATATTAGGAGGTTGGATTATTCGGAAGTTTGCCCACAAGATTCTTTTTTTAAATCATTTAAAACCAAAACCCAATCTACTTTTACATTGGTTTCAGGGTTATTAGATTATTTTAAAAATCCAATCATGGAAGAAACCCGTAGAATTATCCAGCCTTAGGATTCTTGAAGAGCAAGTTTTGGGAATTAACAGCAATATTAGAGTTTAATTTTTTTATTATTTAATGTGTTCTATCAAATACAAGCCAGATGTAAATCCTAGGGATTTTTGAGATCGATCAATTGCACCCATGGTTCAGGGTTTACGCAAATATTTTACTCTACCATACCATACTCTCCTTCTAGTACCAATCCCTTTAACAACCTCTTTACACATATCTCTCAAAGTGTAAATGAATTGGAATTGATTGATTTCATAGTTTATTAGAAACATCTGAAATCTTTAATCATGTTTTAATAAGTTCCTTTAAATATTCAGCTGCCACAGTTCATGATCTGTCTGAGCAGCTTCCTCTATTACTCAATCTTGTTCAGCTGCTCTGAGAGTCTCTGTTATCCTGGCTACTCCTATAATCTGGGATGCTCTTATTAGATCTTCAGCTGCTTCTTTAATTACTAGAGTTGCTCTTGTAGTCCATGTTATTTTAGCCATTCTTAAAGTTTGAGCTGCTCCCAGAGCTATTCATAGAGTTTCTGCTATGTTAGCTGTACTTACAGTTTGAGCTGCTCACAGAGCTATCCCTAGAGTCTCTGATAGGCTATCCCTAGAATCTCTGATATGTTAGCCTTACTTACAGTTTGAGCTGCTCCCAGAGTTATCCCTTGAGTCTCTGTAGTGTCTTGGGAGTCTTAGTTATCCTATATATCCTGGTGCTATTGTTAACATGAATGTGTACAGAGCTGCTCTGCAATGAGCGGTGTCTCCGTATGTCTCCATTCTCGGGATCCTGGTTATCCTAGTTCCTTCATATGTCCTGGATATCCTAGTTCTCCTATGAGTCCTGGATACCCTAGTTCTCCTATGTGTCCTGGATATCCTAGAAGTCCCTGTCACTAGAACCAACTTGAGATTATAGAGCTTCTGCTTATAAATACCTTAGCTGCTCCAAGGCTCCAGTAACTCTGTTCATACATATATCCAGCTGGAGAATAAAGAGTGTCCTCTGATATCCTGAATGATGCTGAGGATTCCGAGGATGTACATTCATGTTGAAGGATGGAAGGAGGCTGGCGTTCTTCTTAGTTCTCTGGTAGTCATGGTAAGATATATCATCCTACGAGATGTCAATAAAGTACAAGTCCCCTGGCCTTAGTTGGATAAACAGAGCTAAGCTCTATCTTTTATCCTGTATAAGATCCTGGAGCGTACTGACAACCTCCAGGTTCCAGATAACTAAGAGTTTTTGCAGGAGTAACTATGTCTTAATTATTACATTATGTCTAATAGGTTAAACATAAATTGTGATAATCTATTCCATAATAATGCACTCTCACTTTGTAACCACCAAGCTAGTAACTTCCATTTAAGAGAAAAGGAATCTGAATACCAGTTTCAAAGATTTGAAACAACTGTGGGGAAGCAATCGTACAGGAATATGGACCGGAGTAATTGGAGAGGTATTATACTTAGCCTATTCATGTGATATAATTTGTAATTGAACAGCAGTCTGAAATCACATTCTCTATTTTAAACCATTTTTTGCCAAATTTGGCGCAAATTTACTTGAAGTGTGCACTATTGTCATGCAATCGTCTAGATTTGCACAAAACTATGGATTGTAAAGACTGTTTTCACTAAAATCTATGCAAAAATAATATTTGCTAAATCCTGCTTATTGCCTTTTCTATTTGTAAATTGCATATCTACTTTGCATTTTGATTTTTTTATAAAGAACTTTTTTTGGAGCCTCATGTGCAATGAGTATAACTTGTTTAGTTTTTTTTAATTAAAGTTATTAATATTATTTCTGTGCTAATTGTGTAATTTTTGCCAACATTCCGATATCTCCAAAAACCCAAATCTTGGCATAAACAAAAATTTGCATAACTTTGACTGAAACCATAACAAAAGTCATCTTTAAAATCTTCAAATAGAAATGCTACTGTGGATTTTAGTACATTTTGTTTTTATACAAAAAGCTAAAATGCTTCAATATTTTTTTGAAACCTTATTAACTCATTAAGTAAAATTTGTCTAATCTTTCATGTAAAAAAACCAAATTACATCATAAGCAAAAATTTGCTTTCCAGAACTTTTACTGTGACCTTAATAAAAGGTCATCTTTGTCTTAAAATAGAATTTCTATGAATTGAGAAACAAATTAAATTACAAAATCTTCAGCAACATTTCTGATTAAAAAAAAATTTGCTGTTTTATTTTGATTTATTCTTGTAGTCACTACTATGTCTGTTCTGTGTTAGAATGCTTGGTTCATGTTTTGTTTTACAAATAGATTGAAAGAGGTGAATCTGACTTGGGAATACCTTTTTTGGATACACAGTAGAAAGGTGACAGATTTAACATATATTTAACATATAATAAAATAAACATAACATAAACATAAAAAAGTGCTTATCTATATAATAAAACAACACATAAGCATACACTCATATATATAGCCGGCCTATTTCTTTTTAACAAGGAACAAAATGGATTTAATAATTTTTTTTTCATTTCGTTAGTTTAGTTTTCAAAAAAAATTATTTTGTTCGTTCTCAAAATTAAAGTTTACTTTTCATCTATTTTTTTAGTTGTTTTTCTGAATAATTGTTTCATAAAATAGATTTTTCAGTAAAATCGTGAATTCTGTAAAATCCTTTTTAGTTTGTTCAGTAAAAAAGTGATGGTTTTTTCAAGATCATTCAAACATTATAAATCATTTATTTTTTTCCTTTGATTTGCCTTTAGCAACGTCTTTTTTTACTAATCTATTTGCTGATGACACTAGTTTTCTAAAATCATCTCCACATATCGAAACCTTAGTAATTGATGCGAACTTTGAACTAAAAAAGGCAGCTGCATGGTTTCAGGCAAACCCTGTAACACTAAATGTTTCCAAAACAAAGTTTATGATATTTAGGAATAAAAATATACATTTTGATCCTGAGAACTGCAAATTAAAAATTGGAAATGAGATACTAGAAAGAATAGGAACTGACTGTACAAATAAATATTTCAAATTTGTTGTACTCAAAATTGATGAATTTTTAAATTGGGACTATCAAATTGAACATGTTTCCAATAAGATTTCTAGCTCAATTTTTGCTCTGAATCAGATTAAAAACATTTTACTGTTAAACATTCGTCTACTAGTCTATAATGCACTTGTAAGGCCACATATTGAGTATGGAATTATAACATGGGGGGGCGTAAAAAATGCTAAACTACAGAAAATCAAGTCTCTGCAAAAAAGAGCAATTAGAGCAGTAAATAATAGTTCATTTAAGGCACACTCAGATCCAATATTTTTCAGATTAGAACTCCTAAATTTTGATGATACATATAAACTAGGTGTTCTATCTTTTATGCATAAATACTTTTATGGAAAACTTTCAGCTTCCTTCCATGATATTTTTAATTCTTTAGCTGAACCAACTAGAACAAAATCATATAAACTTGAACGGGTTCTCTTTAAAACTCTAGAATGTTTTCCCTCTGCTTTGTTTCCAAAAATATGGAATTCGATTGAATTAGAGCTGAAAGAAACTAAATCTGCAAAATCGTTTAAAAGAAAAGTCGCCAAGATCTCTTTAGATAGTTATGCAAATTATATCTGTAAAAAAAAAACTGTGTATCATGTGGATAAACTTAGTCTTTACTATCTTCATCACCCTGTAGTTCATAAACATGATTTAATAACTTATGTTACCCTCTGTTCCAACCCTTACGCTGAGTATCCTCCCTTTACCTTATACTCCCTCACCTCCTCCTTACCATTTTCCTGATTTATCATCATTCTTATGTTTAAAATGTAAAATGTACATTTTTTTATCTGCAATTCTCATTCGTTTATAGTGGGCCAACCAATTAAAACAACCTACTCTGGTTAGGCGGGTCCAAACAAAAAAGAAAATGGGAATTAATTATTTGTATTATCTCGTGCTTTGTAGTTGAATAAAATATAAAATATGATATGATCTTTGTGGGTGCTTACTTGCTGGGCCTCTTTTATCTCAGGGCACTTAGATAGGAAATGAGATTTTGAAACAAATTATTCCTAGGTCAGCTGTTGTAAAATATTCACAAGTTCTCAGTGTTATTAGCATAGTCTGGGTATCCAAGGTATCAATAAACAATCTCTTTGATTTCATACTGGGCGAAATGTAATCTGCTGAGATTCATGCCAGCAATACTGTTTTTCTAGCTCAAAGGGAAGTTAAAATTAACTTTAAATGGGTTTAAAACAGGGCATGGCAACTACTCACTTAAAGTTACAATCTAAAAAAAACAGTGGTTTAAAGAGTTTTTTGTTTTGAATTTCAAAGTGGTAAGAGCTTTTACCTTGAGCTTTGTATGATTAGAGATTCCACTAGAAATTAATATTGATTCAATATTTATATTTTTTGAAAAAAAATACTTCATGAAGTTTAGCTGCAAATTGAGCCTACTTTACGGGGTGTATTTTCCTTTCTCATTTTATTAATGAATTTTTTTCTGATTTTTCCCTTCTCTTGTTCCCATCCGTTGATATCAAATTCAAATTCCCTTGGAAAAACTCCGGTCGTGTTCGGCTTTTTAAATTGCATTTATTATGCATCATATCCCTGGCCGGAAGAAATGAACTTCAATCAGCTTATGTACATATGGCTAAACCCTTGGTGGGTTTTCAATACCTAACACCATGTTAAAGGGCTTGGAATATTTAGTGTTTTTTCTCTGTTTATATTAAATTTAAAAAAATATGGTATTATGTGATATTTGAAAAAGGTGAACAATATTTAGTTTACTAAAATCTATTTGAACCTGTTAAACCTTAAAGAAGATTTTCTGGAGGTGGCAAAAAAAAACACTTAAAACTTTTGGAAATAAAGGGCCTAACCCTAATTAATTGATTTTCAAATAAATATAATCTATAGTTTAAGGCCTTTAAAGGTTCAAATTTTTACATAAAAAAATTAAAAACTTTAGTAAGAATCTATAATGTGTACTAGAACTAGAATGTGTACTAATAGCACATTGGACAAGTTTTCTCAGAATTTTTTTGTTTTAAAATAATTTTGCAATAAAAAAAATAATTTGAAATCATAAATTCTAGTATCCCAAGAGAGCAGCTTCATTTACCAATGTCCTGCAGGTATAATCAAAATGGATTATATATATATATGTCATAGATTTTTGAAAATAAAAAATCAATATAATAAAATAAATCAAGGTTTTTGACTTTGTAAGCTGGTTCGCAATTCTTATTTAGTTTAGAGGCTAACTTTAAATTGCAAATCCTTTGTTTAATAAAACTGTACTTCAATTATTTCAGCTTTTTTGGAGTTGGGATAGCTTTGCTTCTGATATTTTTTGTTTCTAAAATAAGAAATATTAAGAAGGTAATATTAGTTGGTTAATTTAACAAAGAAAGAATATTTAGGATAGATTTAATCCTATCTCTGCTTTGTGCAAAAATCATTATGTCTTTACATTAAGTAATAAACTGAGCGTTTAATACAACACTAATTTAACCGCCAAATTATAATTTGTCATTGCTGTAGTTTTAAGGATGTATTTTTATGTTTCTATCTGAAACTAATTATTTTCAATAAAGATTTTAATGTTTCCTAAAAATTCCTTTTCATCAAAGTTATTGAGTCTTTGCCACAAACTCATTTTTTAAGCACAACATCTTTGCAACCCAAAGTTGTAGTGCTTAGATATTTCAAACTATTAATTACATAAGCTCAAATAATCTAAGTTCCAAATATAAAAGGTTTACACCATCAGATTGCAAAGATAAAGGAATTAGAAAATTTGAGTTTGTGGCAAAGACTCAATTCCTTTCTCAATCTTCCATCCTTTTTCCTCAACCTAACTCTTTCTAACTCTTTCTAACTCTTTCTAACTCTTTTCTAACATCTATGCACTATATCTTTAAGTCTAAAAGTGTCACTATGAGTTACTAGATTTTATTTCAAAAATTACTTTGCAAAATAGAACAAATTTATTTTTAAAAAATGTTCTTAAAAACATTGTTATTAATAACATTATTGCATATTTTGGTACTAATATAAAGTTAACATGATCATAAACTTCATAAAATGTATTAATAGGAAAATTTAGGAAAGATATTTTACTGTTGCATTTTGAATTTTGTGACAATTAAATCTGTTTAATGCATACCAGGTAGGATACAGGGCAGTATAAAGTCTGGTCTGTGTAAAAAAAAATATAAGATAGCCCATAACTTTTTTGAGACTAAAGCTAAAGATATATCTAAATGCTATATTTTTTAAACGCCCGCGTGAAATGGATGTAGAAACACATGTCACACTTTGATATTTGTTGAAAACAAAAACAATTATTTTAACATTTTTTGACAATTTTTTTGGCTTTTTTTCTACCATACCTAGCAACTAAATCATCGGTCTAATTTTTTTTCAATGTGCTGGCCTTGAAAAAATGGGCAATAAACATGTATTTCAGCCCTATACCTATTTTCTAAGGCATTTTTATAAGGGCGGAGGGGAGGGGCGTGGGACACCCCCTAAGGCTTTGCATAGATTCAGACCCCCCCAGCCTTTATAGGGTTAAGCATAATGGACCTTCTTCATTGGTAAGAATGTTATTCCTGGTAAAGCCCTGCCTTTTTCATTTTGATTTCATGGTCAGTTAATGCATTATTGCTGTATTAACTTGAATTATAAATATTATATCTGATATATCTGATATATCTGCATATTCTAAGATCCATGAATATGGTTTTGCATGTTCAAACTTTTCTCACACATTTCAAGACTTTATTTACAGCCAGACACTGTCCTAGTCATGCTTTTACCCTACGTAGATTGGTATAAAGCAGATCAAGCCAAGGGTAAGATTTCAAGACTTTATTTACAGCCAGACACTGTCCTAGTCATGCTTTTACCCTACGTAGATTGGTATAAAGCAGATCAAGCCAAGGGTAAGATTTCAAGACTTTATTTACAGCCAGACACTGTCCTAGTCATGCTTTTACCCTACGTAGATTGGTATAAAGAAGATCAAGCCAAGCGTAAGATTTTCATTTATGGATTAAATTTCATAGAACTTTCATCACAAATAGTGATCAAGCATTCGTTTCCAATATTAGCCATTTTCTATCAAATATGACAAGGACCCCCTTTCTCAGAAAGTGGAACATCCATCTGAAAGTCATGCTGGCTTAGAAAAACTTGTGACTTAGATTAATTGATCATAACATAATTTAGGAAATATGTAGGTTGCTTTCTGTTTGACATTAGACATTTTACTTGTAAGATATCTACAGAAAACAGAATCTAGATTAGTATTATTATTCATAGCTTATTTAATTAGGCAGGTTTATTGTTCCGACTTTCCTTAATATGTCATTAATGTTATTTTCTTAATCCTGATCTGTCTGATGCCATTTTCATATAAATATCTTACAAAATTGAATAGGGCTTAATTGTATTTTGCATAACTACAGCTGCTATAGCTCCTCCAGCAATATGTGTAAATGGTTTTGCAAAAATTTTGCATTTTTCATGAAAAAAATATTTTTGCTGAAAATTTTGCTTTTGTCATGTTTAGCTTATTTTTTGCAAAACTTCACTTCAATCTGTTTTGCGAAATAAGACATGCAAAAGTTTCACAAAATCTAACAGAAAAATAAATGCAAAACAAAGCACAAAAGAGAGATGATTAATTAAGATATAATACAACTTAAAATGCTCAGTTAATTAATTGTTTATTTCGAGTAATTTTGCATTATTTTTGCATTGCCAAACATTGATAAAATTTTTTGCATTTTTTTGCGAAAGTTTTTGTTCGTTGGAAACCCTAGCTATGATGTAGTATAAATTCTTTATTTTGAATCAGTTCTAAGTGGTAGAATTGTTGTAACCATATGGAGCTTTGGCTCACTATTCATAATTCTTGCTTTCTCCTGTAATCTAAGGTAGGATTAAACACAATTTGAACTTTATTCTTTAATTTGATGCAAAACTTATGTTCAGGGCCATTTTACTGAGTCCTTCCTTTAAATCTCCAATTGATACTTCTAAGGACATTGTTCTAAAGAATAAGGTTAGTTTATAGTTTTTAAAGAATACATTGTTCCAGATAATGAAAACTCAATATGTCGACCTGTATGTTTTAGAAAGGAAAAATTTTAAATTTGCCGACAAGAATTTTTCAAAAACAAAAAAAACTTTCAAAAATGCTGCATTTTCTTTTGCCTCAATCTTCCTGGATTTTTTCTTATTATTTTCTTTTTGCAGTTGTCTGTTCTCTCTGCATACTCCTGGCATTATAATTATCTGTCCACATCTAAAGATCCATGGCAAAGAGATACCCTGAAGAACTACAAGTTTAAAGACGCGGTATACAAATGATTTACTTATTTAAATGAATACAATGAAAACTAAACACAGAGGCTTATTTAAGGGGGGGGGGCTATGGGGGCTAGGACCCCCAGGACCAGTAAAATCTATTGATTTAAGGCCCCAATTGGGGCTAAGCCCCCCTAGACAAATTTCTGAATACGCTCCTACCTATATAGACCCTTTCAACTGATGAAGTACTTTGGAATGTTTATACTGAAGAAAACGAGGTGACACCAGAACCCAAGGTGATGATTTTTTCCCCAGATCCTTACATTCAAACCAAAACAACTGTTACCAGTAGCTGTACAGCTCGACATCCCTGGATACGTTTTTCTCATAAAGGAATTGAGTCTTTGGAACAAAGTCAAATTTTTAATCCTCAATATCTTTAGAACTCGATGTTGTAAACCTTTGATACTTCAAACTCAGATTACTTGATCTAACAGAATTCATAGTTTGAAATATCTAAGGTCTGCAACATTTGGTTCCAAAGATATAGTGATTAGAAAATCAGATTTGTGGCAAAGACTCAATTCCTTTAGCAATTTATTAGCACTTAATTGTTAAACACGTCTCATACCGAAGAATGTATAGTCATCGATTATCTTTCGCCACATTTATATATAGTTGATTTTTCATACTATGTTCTAATTGTTATGATCTGAGAGTTACTTATAAAAACATTTATTCTTGTTTAGAGGATTTTTGGTAATGAAGACGACATTTTCATATTTTCCGGGAATGTTCGAAAACAAGTTGTAAGCTAAATATTATTTTGAAAAACAAAATCAAAACTAGTATGAAATATCAAATATATACAAATGTGGCGAAAGATAATCGATGACTATAGGTTGTAATATCTGAATGATTTGTTTGAAATTAAATTGATTTTTTTACGGTCTAAGTCGTATGTTGCAATTTTCTCAATTTGAATGGACGCCATGTTATTCGGTATGAGACGTGTTTAACAATTTTCTCCTTATAGACGCAACAGATAGAAGTAAAATTAGTAGCGATCAAAAGCGCTTTTTTATCGCATTAAGCCTATACCCATTTCATTTTTCGCGAACACTCCCTTTAAGTTTTGATTTCTTTCAAGGATGTGGACAATTTAAGTTCCTCATAAGACCATAGGTTTAAAATGGGAATATTTATTTTTCCAGACCTTTCAAATTCCCAAAGTTCATCTCTTGAAAAGTATTCTCAGTGGACAGTAGCTGTGGAAATCTATATAAAACTCCAAGCAATGTTTTTAGTTTCTCTTTTTCCAGCAAGACCATACTTTAATGTGAAATTTGAATTAGATGTCCACTCATCAGTTAAACCGCTAATATAACCGCTAATATTTCAGTTGTAAAGGGGGGGGGGGGGCTTGAATCAAATTAGTCTCTGCACCCCTCTGGAATTCTGAAACAGCAGTGATTAAACAAAACAACTTCTGGGTGCCAGGGAATGTCTTGGGACAGATGCAACATCCTTTTCATGAACATTTGTGTCCCTCTTCAACTTAAATTTCTTTGCATTATCTTCTCTAGGATAATTGCAAGCGAATATCCTGTAGCATCCTGGGTCCTGTCCCTCACATGGGGTTGCGCAGCATTTTTATTCTATTTTTTTTTCAAAAAATATTCTCTTTAAACTTTGAGCTTGAAAAATACTAAATTGTTTTATTTATTGTATTCCAGGACCAGGTGTTGGTCATCATACGAAACAACAAAACATTTTCAGGGATGAATACTCCAGTATTTTATTTTAGCAAGGTGATTCATGATTTGAACTCAATACAAAGTTATAAACAGTATGATTGACAAGTAGGGATTATAGCATTTAATAGTCAGAATTTTCTGTATTTCAAAGTTTTAAGTACTTCTAAAAATTAAAGCTGAAATTTTTCTTTTCATTAGCTAATGAAATGAGTCATGATTCAGGCTTGAAAACTTTATAGAACAATTTTACAGCCCCTGATCAATTCCATGTGAAATGATCTCATAATAATCCTGGAACATTACAAAATTCTTTTTATGAATTTTAATTATGAATTTTTATTGCAAAAACTTATTGTAATCCAAAGTCTGAAATGAGCTTGAAAGAGGGTCTCTGATAGCCACAAAATGATGATGATTATTATCTGAACTTACCTTTTTTCACTTAAATGTGTATAATGTTTAGGAGAAATTAATGCCATATTTTGCTGGTTGGGTTTTTCAAAAGGAAACAAAATGGGAAAATGATATTAATAATCATATACTGCTCTGTCATCAGGTACTTGTTAAAGAAAAGATTAAATAGAGTGAATACCTTCCCCAAGTTCTTTAGATTCCTCAGAATCCATTTTTTCTTCTTGATCCATTATTGTAATAATGTAAATAGCTAATGGACAGACAATGCATTTCAAATTTCTGTCAATTTCTAGCTATAACACTATTATTTTGTTTTAAAGTGTTAAAAGTTGTTGGACAAAATTTTCTCTTTATCCAGAAGGTTTCAGCCTTTTTGGATCATATTTGTCCCTCGCTAAAACTTTAAGATACAGAGAAAAATCTTAAAACTTTATTACACGTTGTGCCAAAATAATAGTGTTGCATGTAATTTTATGAAGCATTTCTTTACCCGTATTATTGCAATATTATTTTTAGATAAATTAAACTTTTTAATAAAGAACCAATTTTAAAAATAAAGTTATTTTAAATTTTCTTGAAAATATAGAAGAAAATAAAATCGAAATATCCTGAATTTAATTGAGAAAATCCGGGAACCAATCAAAATTGTGCAACACTATGACTACGTAATATTGCACATTTATAATAAAAGAGTTTAATAAAGTACACAATAGTTTCATAAAAGTGCTTCTGAAAACGCTCTTTTTGCAATGACATAAAATGTTTAATGATTATTATTTCCATCATGCCTCAATTCAGTTATCAGTTTTGAACTTTATTCTCTAGGCTGGGTTCTCTACAAAAATAGAAAATTTATACGCTTCAGTCAAGGTTCATGATACTTCAACACCATCAGAGGTTAAATACAAATTATTCAGTTTGCCATAAATCGACCTTCCACCCTACATTAATGTGATTTAGGACACATTGTTTTCTTTTACGACTAAACTTGAAAAATAAAAATTTGAATTTTTTCATAAAGTATGAAATCTGTGATCCCTGAAGCCCCAGTTTTTATGACCATATTCACTAACTGTCTGGCTACTTTTGTCCTTGTGAGCAATAGTTTAATCATTACAAAAATTGTGGGTGTTTTGAACGTCTAGTTTTCACTCACTGCTATTCCATTCATTCCATCCATCTATCAGGCTGCATGGACAATGAAATGGATTATATCTTTTACAAGAGTCTGTTAACAAAAGTCAAAAACCGTTAATTTTCAAAATGTTAACAAAATGGAATAGCTGTTTTTGAAGAAAAAAAAATTCAGTTCAAACAAAACAGAAATTTTTTTTTAAACTGTTAATTTCGTTTTTTCTGCTTAAAATCGCATGAAACTTTAAATCTAAAGAAATATATGTGTTTTGTTGTTGTAAATTTTCTGTTAACGGAGTTAATAAAATTGAAATCATTAATTTTTCTTTTTTAACGGTTGGAACTTGGAAGTAACAGTTAACAAAACGGCTAGAAAAAGTTGGAACATGCCCATCCCTACCAGTAGCTAACAAATGAATTGCAATATGGGTAGTGGATACACGGGCAGCCGTAGTACATTTGAATTTCCGAGCCGGGTCAACTTTTCCAGTCCCAGTTTGTACTGTATCGACCCGTCAGTGGGTCTATAAAGCAGACACTCAATAGGAGACTAGCCAATGCAACAAGGTTGACGCGGTCAGACTTTAGGTTGAATTTACTTTTACTGAAGGGTCAGAGATGCGTTGATAGAGTTTACTAAAATTAGATTAGAATTTTTCTAAAATGATTTACTATTATTCAGATAACTCTATCCATCTCAGATCTGGCCATTTCTTTCTTCTTACTAAGTGGTGGTCTTGCTATATCAGCAATAGGTAATGTTATTACTGGTTACTTAACAGTATACCAGTTTCTTAGTCAAGTCAACATTTCAAAGCAGTTTAACAATTTTCTTTATGTTTTCTAAGACAAAATAACTAATTTATGTTGATATATTGAAAAATCATGGCAGTCAATTATTAAGAAGTTTATTTTGATCATTTTACTTGAATGAATACAGCAATTTTAGATAATATATTTAATTGATGTAAAAATGGGGATACCTAAATTATATTTGCAGAATTATTATTCTATTGTTTACATTTCACACGTGTAATTGATTTAAATTGAGGACTCAAAATTATCAAATTCAAATTACATATTTACATATTTACATATTTACATATTTACATATTTACATATTTACATATTTACATATTTACATATTTACATATTTACATATTTACCTTACCAATTATTTTTAGTATTTCTGCTCGAGTTCTGGTGGAAAATTAAGTAAGATGTCAGATGCCATGAATATTTATACAGAAAATTAAGAAGAAAAAATAAATTTATTTTCTTTTCTAAATGAGTGCAAAATCTAATTTATAATGAAACATGTTAACATTCAGTAAGAAGCCCTTGCCCCGTTGAATCACAAGACAGAGAGAGTGCCTAACTGCAGTGCTCGGCCCCATAGCCTATTCTAGCCGCAGTGCTTGGCCCCTAGCCTGTCATTTTTGTACTGCAGTGTGCTGTCTTTGAGTGGACATGGAATCCATTTTCGCAAACATAATCTATGAAATATTCTGGTCGTAGGAAACTATTTTTTTTTTATCCTCCTCAGATACAAGACGAACACTGATGCATCTATTCTTACTTACAAATTCCGGCCAGAGAGAACTGGTTTCAATATGTACGCAATTAACTTTCCTTGCATTAATACCTTGCACTGAACTATGATTTGAAAGCAATTTTTATTAATATTTTAATTATACGTATATTGATAATAGTAATAATAATAGAATTTATTTTCAAACACAAAATACATGATCCAGTCAAACTCAACTGCGCGCATATAACAACGTATGAACAAGCCAAGTTTATAATGCAAGGAAAGCTATTTCAGAGGTGTACGCATCTTTTGTACTGCTGTGTATTGTCTCTGGGAGGTAATGTAAAGCCTGACATGGGATTCATCTTTTACATAAAAAATAAATAAATTCTGGTCATAGTAAACTATTATGTGAATTATCAAAATTATCAAAATTTAATGCTTTTAACCACCTCGGATACAAAAAGAACACTGATGCATCTATTCTTGTTTACAAATTCCGCCCAGAGAGAAAAGGCTTCAATATGTAAGCAGAGTATACGCAACTGCAATTAACCTTCCTTACATTATAACCTTGAACAAGCCAAATTCAATGGATGGGTGTCTTTCCTGGGAACGATTGTGTTTTCACGGGAACAAACCGAATATTTCACGGGAACAAACCGAATATTTCACGGGAACAAACCGAATATTTCACAGAAACAAACCGAATATTTCACGGGAACAAACCGAATGCAAAAACAATTTTAAAAAGTGGTAACAGGCTCAGCCTTAGGTACAACCAAGTGGTAGCATATACTCTTTCAAGGGCGTAAACAGGGGGGGGCAAGGGGGGCAGTACACCCCCTAGAACTAAGAGCTTTCACACTTTTCAAATCTTAAACTGAAGAGCGAAGAACATAAAAAAATAGTTTGCGTTCATTCAGAGCACTAAGAAAATTGTATACTTGGACCAGAAAAATCAATTTAGAATTTGCACATTCATCCTAATCAGATGGGCGCTATCAGGAATAGCGAAGTAAAACAATTATTTTTAAATGTCAAGCCACGAAGGCTTGAGTTTGGAGGTAGTAAATAACTATTTTTTGTTTTGTAATTTAGATTTAATTTATCTTATTCATTGCACCGCCTTTTTGTAATCTTTCTTTTTATTCCAAACTAGCTGAAGTATGCAGGCGTTGCCCGTGGGATTTTTAAAATCGAATTAAAACAAAAAAAATTATCTTTTTAGCTTATGTCATCCCCAAAGTTATCCATGAATTCCTCACTAAAATTGAGACCATTTGATTCATCCGTTTGGCCAGCCATAGCAAACATATAAATGAACTTAGAGCTTCCTTTGTATTAATTACAATTGTACTCCTACTTTTTTTCAAAACAGGTACTTTGACAAGTCAGAAATTTTTATTATTAAGTACATTACTAACAAAACACTAACAGTTAAAGAAAATTACGATTTTTTAGAAACAATACTTTTTTTCTGCTAGTTTTGTTTGAAGGAGAGATAAAGTATAGTACATGCAAGTAGGGTTGTTAATCGTTTTTGAAAACGATCGTTAAACGCTCGTTTTGTTTCGTTTTTCAATCGTTTTCAAAAACGATCGTTTCGTTTTCGGAAAAAAAGATCGTTTTTAATAACAACTCACTCGTTTTGAACTTTTAGAAAACGAATAACGATCGTTTTTGAAAACGATCGTTTTTATAAAAAAAAATTATTGACAATTATGTTAACGATCGTTAACGAAGGGTCGTCGTTAAAGATCGTTAACGAAGGGTTGTCGTTAACGATCGTTAACGAAACGACGAACTTTATAAAAACGGTAGTTTTTGGAAAAACTAAAGTTTTTGAAAAAAACATTATTTAATGTCGTCTTACATGAAGTTTAACAGTTGTGGGGGAGCTAAAACTTCTTGATATTTTCTTACAAACTACTGAATGACTAGTACAGATGCCCTTCAGACGACGAATTTTATAAAAACGAGCGTTTTGAAAAAAGATCGTTTGAAAAGCGACCATTTCTAAAAAACAATCGTTTTTAAAAACGGTCGTTTCGTTTTCGATTTTTTGTCGTCGTTTTCATAACGAAACGATCGTTTTTCAAAAGAATGAAAACGTTAACATCCCTAGTTGCAAGGTAAAATTGGACTGAATGAATGTGTACCTTTAAAGCATCTTATAATTATGCCTGATATCCAAGAAGCCTAATGTTTTGAATTTACCGTTCAATGCCCCCCCCCCCTTAGAAGATATTAGGAGGGGGGAAAAATAATTTGCGCTTCGTGCATATTTATTTCTGTATACGCTGCGTAAAAGGCTTCCCCCCCTCCTTGAAATAAACTTTGTATACGCCCCTGATTCATTCATTATCGCTCTTTTGGGTTAACTCACAATTGGTTTTATAGGTATACTTGATGCATTTTATATTAACCCTATTTTTTCACTGAAAAATATTTTGATTTATTTACTTCTTCACTTTTCTTTTTCTTTTCGATTTTTATTCTCTTCATTTGTCTTCATTTGCTCCTCTCTACTATTTAAATGGTAAAATTAATAATTTTATATATATAATGTTCATAGTTTTAAAACTATAAATTAATAATAAAATAATAATAATAACACTTATGTGTAGGGCAAGATGGAAATATTTTGCGAGAAGCGCGAAAAAAAATTTTTGCCCCCCCCCCTTAACATTTTTAGGGGGGGGGGGCAAGAAAAATGTCTATTATACTCAAACAATAAAAAAAACTAAGCTTACCAACCGGATATTCGAAGTATGACCCCATCTGATATGAAATAAAAAGAAATCTATCAAACAATTTTTTTAGTTACAGGAAAAAGCCTTATAAAGAAGGGGTGGGTGGGGCCAGGGTGTATTCTATGCTGTCCCATATAATTGTTCCTCATAATTTACAGTTCACGGGCAGCCGTAGGACTTTTGAATTTCCGAGCCGTGTCAACCTTTCTGGTCCCATTTTGTACTGTACCTAGCTCTATGGACAGGACTAGCCGGTGCAACAAGGTTAACACGGTCAGACTGTATGCTTCATATGGGCCATGAATTTACCTTTACTAAAGGGGCAGATTCGGCAGATTTGCATGAGTTGCAATATCCTACATTTACGTTTACCTAACGAATGCAGAATGAAAGATATTGGTTTGATTATCTGCTATGATTGAAGGAGTAAAATTTTAGGACACAGTCTTCACCTTTATTCCAGCAATAATTTTAATTCATTAAGTAGTTATAATGTTTTCAGCCCCTCCCATTCCCAGCTCCCCGGCCCCACAAAAGAAAAAAATTAGCTTGTTGCTTTTCCTTTAATGTTCATCACGCTATTCTGAATTTTCCAGGAGACCATTGTTATTGATCCATTCGTTTCAGCTTGTATTTGAAGCATTCCTCTGATTATAATAAGATTACTAACGTTCAATTATAATATTTTTTTACGATCTGCAGAGTGAGGGAGGGGGTCCATGGAGTTCCTCAAATAGTAATCACCGCCACCCAAATCTGTTTTCCGGCAAGCGCGCTCCTCAATTGGTAATCTCCACCACCTCAATTAGTAATCAACGTAAAATTTTGTTTTCTGTGATAAGAATTTAATGCACTTTTAACACAATTTTCGACATCTATCGGGGTTTTATGGCATCTGTATTGACTTAAACTAAATTTTCAAATTATTTCAGATTTGTTTGGTCAACAAAAACTGAGAATCAAGGCACAGTTCATTTTAGCCGAATCTTAGATCCAATTCGCCCATTTAATGACTGCATTCCATGATTGGCGTTAAGATACTAACAGGTCGGGCTGCCTGTTTACTAAAAATTATCTCATCCCATGCAAAGTAATATCCATCTCCATTTAAAAGATATTTTCAAAAAACCTTTACAGTGTTTAGATTTTTGTATTCGCCTACTCGAGTTCAACATCTAAAACAAAACTAATTATATGCATAGAAAGAGCATAAAATTTTGAAAAATTAGTCTCATCCCACCCCCTACTGAAAATGAAGTATATTTAGTCCACTCTATATAAGAAGCTTTTAAAACAACATTCAGAGGAAAATGCCGCAAACATTCTTAAAGCGAAACTTGAAACTATAAAAAACGTTTAATATATTTCTAGCACTTAGTGTGGCATATTTATAGATTTATTTTCGAAACTATAAAGGAGCAATAAAGAAAGCTTTAACAATATTGTACACCATAGGGTCATTAAAAGAGATCAATATGGTCTTATTTCTAAGAAATAAACGATTTAATGTTTTGATTTTTTGGGCTGATTACTATTTGAGGTGGTGGAGATTACCAATTGAGGAGCGCGCTTGCCGCAAAACAGATTTGGGTGGCGGTGATTACTATTGGAGAAACTCTGGACTCCCTCCCTCGCAGAGTGCTTAGCCTTCTTCTTCTTTAATTTGCTTAGGGTCAGGATTCATGAATCGCTAAATTGAAAAACAGGGTACCACTCTTGCCACCTCCTAGTTGCGTTCGCCCCCTCTTTTCTCAAAGAAGGGGGGGAGAGTGGAATGTGGCCTTGTTACCTCCCCCCCCCCAACAACCCACCGCGCCCTACGGTTACAGATCCCTCGTCGATTTTAATAAATCACTCACATGTGACCGCGACGATTCTCATTGGTTGATTTCTGTGACGTAATAAGCTGTGATTGGTCCAGAAGCTGTATCGTTCAAAGTTATTAGTTTCGTTAGCAACCACTAGGTGTCTCTTGGCAGACTCAGCTTTAATCTTAGATAACCGGCAAATAATTTGGTCAGATTTAAATAATTTGGATAAACATATAATTTCCATCACATATTGAAATAAAAATAATTTCTAAAATCAAATTTATAAGAATTTTAAGTTTTAACGTTGGTATTTTTAATGTTTATTGCAATAATAACGTCAAAAACATTTCCGTGTA